AAAAAAAAAAAAAAAAAACCCTCAAAGCAAAGGAAGGAAAAATATAGGGGGAGGATCAAATGCTTTGTTTTCTTTTTTTATTCGTTTTTTTTTTTTTTTTGTGTTTTTGTTTATGCCAGTTATCAAAGAAAAAGGTAGAAAAAAAAATATAAATTTTAAACAAGTTGGAGAGATAGAGAGAGAGAGAACTTTTTTTTTTCTTTTTTTAGGTGCTGCTGTGGTAGAGATGAGGTGATGAAATTGAAATGAAGGGGAATTATTCATGAATGGATACTAATAACAACTGTTGTTGTTGTTGTTGAGTAGGCAGCACTATTATCCATTGCTTATAAACAATGGGAGAAATTGCCATGAATTGAAAAAAATATGGAAGTCTTTCTGCTGGGAAGATCTCAGATGCCTTTTTATTTATTTATTTTATTATTATTATTATTATTATTGATGCGATGATGATAATGGTTATTATTATTATTATTATTATTTAGTACTTGCAGTTTTGTTTTGTGGACATCCTTCCGTCTCTTACACAGAGAAAAGAGGGAGGAAGGAAACAACAAAATAAACCTCATGATTATGAACAATATATATATATATATATATATATGTTCATATATGTTTGGAAAAGAAAAAATAAAACGACAATACACATGCGTACGAAGAAAGCAGAGAGAAAAAAAGAGAAGTATATATATATGTATATATATACGTATATATATGTATAGGGAAAAGAGAATCGTTTGTCAAAGTGAAATACAGTGAAATTCCTCAAAGAAAAAAAAAAAAAGAAAAAGAAAACAACAACAAAAATGAAAGCGTAAAATGGAACAAACAGAATGCAATGAAAAAAAAAAAAACAGTATGTACCAATGCTTATATTAGATATGCATATGTGTATAACGATATATATATATATATATATATATTCTGAAAAGAAGAAAGTAACAACAAGAACAACAGAAAGAAAACAAGAAAAAAAACGGGTGGTTGGGAAAGTGACGAAAACGCAAACCGAATAATTGAATGGATGTATGGGACAGAGAGGCTCTCAGAGAGGAAATGGAAAGAGAAAAGAAAAGAAAAATAACAAAAAAAAAGAGATGAAAGGAGAAGAATACCGGGTCTTTTTCTTTCTTTTCATTTTTTCTTTTCTTTATTTTTCTTTTCGTAGATCTTCTGCTTGACCTGCGTATGTTTCTGCTCCAGTTTTTTTCCTCTTTTTTTTTTATTTTATTGCTTTTCCTGGTTTTTTTTTTCTTTTATCTCCTTCCCCCTCCCCTTCTCTCTCTCTCTTTATCTCTCTCTTTGCTTTTTTTTTTTTGAGAGAAAGTTGATAAATTCGAAGGCAGTTTGTTCGGTACAAAAATTCTTTTTTTATTGTAATTAACTACAGTAGGAAAGATACGTGTATATATATATATATATATATATATATATA